CGGTTTGTTTACGTCTGGGATTTCTCCGGACGCCGCTTAGGTAAGGGGGGGGGGTAACTCACTTTTAGTGCTTAATCGCTCGGTTCTTCCTCCAATTCATTGGCGATCTGGACACAGATCTCTGTTAACTTCGATTCATTCGCTGACCTTCTTGCTTGTCCCGGCTGGCATCAGCTATGCTCGGTAAAAACCGAGCATCATAGGGGGGGGGACCGATTGGGGCAAAAAGGAGCGCCTCAATTCTCCGGCATTGCGCCATCGAAGAGGTCGCCCCCTAACGCGCCCCCGGCTCGGAGCCTCTCACTGAGACTCACCTGGGGGTGTCACTTGAGGTGGCACCCCTCCCAACACCCCTAGAGCGCGGAATACCTCCCCAGCATCAGGGGAGAGCCTCCGCCATCGCCGAGCCACAGACCGGAAGCGGCGCTGCTTGAGCTATTTCAATGGAGCTGCTTACTTAAGAGACAATCGAGAGCTTAGCTTGTGCAAGCATAAGTTTTGTAAGGCTCTGGAAACAATGATTCTCTAGTTGTAACTTGATGCTTTCATGGCTGCTCACTTCATATGTCATTTATTCCCTATTTATGACAATTATTAACATACTTGCAAAAAAAGGATACGATTGGAAAGGGAATCATTTCTGGCCTTTGAATAGCTTTGATTTCATCTTTCTGCTAGAAGAGTCAAGAGGCTTAGATGGACAATGGAAGTTGTTGCCGTATGAGGCCTATCACCATGACGGGCATGGGGGATCAATGTTTTAATAAGTAGAGCAACCTGGCACATAGAATCCCTGTCCAGCAAAAATAGAACCCAACAACGAGATGTTAGTGGGGAGACAGGATGGCTGTTCAGGCATTCAACATTGACAATTCCCAAGGTAAAACTGAAAGGGAAGCTGTAACTTTGCCATGAACCTTGATGGCTCTCTGGCCAGTCCAAGTAGGTTGCTTGGCTGGTTGTTTCTGTTGCTTCCCTGAGAATTGTAGAAGCCCTGCAAATTCAGAGCAGGAGCCTGTTTTGTCCAGAACCCTATTTCCAACAGCAGCTAAGCAGATTGTGCAGCAAGCATGCTAGCTGACCCTTCCTTGTCCCCAGAAGCAAATGATCAGAAGTGAACTTCTCTAAACTGGCAGGTTTTATTTAGCGATGACTGCTGGTTTGGCCAAATCTTGTGTCAGACTCTGCTTCTGTCTATTCAGGTGAATGATTGGAATTGAGCAGCAGTTGTGCTTGCAGGAGGTCCTATTCTCCCTTGCTCCACACACATGGGAAGACTAGAAGGCATTGTGTGATTTTTAAAAAGCTCCCTTCCTCATAATTTCCCTGCACATGTACATTTTAGCAAACATCCAAGTGTCCCCACCAGCACGTTATACCTTTTGCATTATGAAGGTGTGTTCTTAGAGGCTGTACAAATTCTCTTGGGCAGTGATCATAGACATACATGAGAGTAAATCCAGAGGTTGTACTCCTGAATATACCAGAATATACCAGAAAGTTCAGGAAACTCAGCAGAAGATCTGCACAGATATGTTTGCTTAGATTATGGCTAGTTTTTATAGTGTAGGCCTCTTCCATCCCACCCCACTTTCTATAGTATTTTAGAAAGCATTATATGCATAGAAAGCAGAGTTGCCCCACTGGAAAAAGAAGAACCAATAAAGTAAATTTTGCACTGGATCAGCTTTTGCTAAGATTACAATAGTGAAACAGAACCTAAACCCACCTCACAGTAAGCTACTCCACCCACTCTCGTATACCTAAAACCTTGATTCTGTACTAAGGAATTATGTTCCTAGAATTTATTCTGTGTGATTCTGCATCTAATTCTCAAATTGTCAGACTGCTGTGTCAAGCCAAAAGGGAAGCTATCCTGTCAATGTCTGTGTAACCAGAAGAGGGTGTGGATTTTTCCTTTGAGTGTTTTAAAAACAAAACCAAGGGAAAAGCTGAGACTCCCCAGGATTACATAAGCAACCCTGTACACGCATAGAATTTATTCAGCCTTGGTTTTGCCTAGCACAAATATTTGGTTACTTCAAGTACATGAATTGCAAATCACTTAGCAATTCAAGCAGTATATAATATATTAACCAGCAGGTAACTGGTTTGGTGGCTCAAGTGGTTAAGACGCTGAACTGCAGGCTGTGGAAGGTCAGTAGTTCAGCAGTTCGAGACCCGGGTGCCGCAAGATGGAGTGAGCTCCCATCTCTAGTTCCAGCTCCTGCCAACCTAGCAGTTCGAAAGCAAGAAATTGCAAGTAGATAAATAGGGACCACTTTGGTGGGAAGGTAACAGCGTTCCGTGCACCTTGGTGTTTAGTCATGCCGGCCACACGACCACGGAAACGTCTTCGGACAGCGCTGGCTCTTCGGCTTTGAAACGGAGATGAGCACCGCAACCCTAGAGTCGGACTCGACTGGCTTTTGAGCAAGGGAACCTTTACCTTTACCTAACTGGTTTGGCTTTGGGCTTTTGTTCTGAAGCATAAAATGTTAAATGTACCTGGAAGCAAATATTTCTAGTATTGATGAATTCAGAGGGCAGTGAGCTGGCCAGAGATGTTGGCTATTTGAGTCATTACAGTAATGCGTATGTTTATTTAATGCTGGTTGCTATAAAATGTAACAGCTGTATAAAACAAATTGTACTTGGATAACTATTTACCTGATGTCATAAACATGGGAAGTGTATTGGGAAGTATAGTTGGTAGATATATAGCTAAGAACCGGCTAGTTTCCCTTTCTGTTCATATGCTGACCAATTAAAATTGATCCAAAAATTAAAATATTTCCGTTTTTATGAGAAAGGATAAATTATTATTTTACTTGCTGTATTGCTATTTACATCTGTTTAAATTCCATCTTTTTGATGGGTGGGGGGTGGGGGGGGAGAAGGAGG